TCACAAATAAAATACTACTACTGCCTTTATACTTTATAAAATTAATTTAATGTGTTACTTGCCATTTCATTGTAATAATTTGTGAAATTTACTAGCAATTTTTGAGTGAAAATTCAAAGTAATTATTTTTTCAATGTATATATATATTCTGCATAAGAGCTATAAGCCAAAGATTATATTTAAAGGAAAATGTATGATTCTATGTGTGTTTTTAGTGAAAAACCTTATTTTTTATTATTATTTTTTAACTGGACTTTTATTTACTTTTTGCTTTAAAATTGAGTCTATTTGGCCACAATGGTTAATCTGATCACACTTTTAAGAAATTTCAGAATAATATATTTAAATAGCAAGATCATTTTTTGGTTTATGAGCTCATTTATGAGTAAGAATAGCGTAATGGCATTTCTTGTTGAGTTTGAGTCAGTCTTTCTGCTGTTTTTACTGTCCTCAATTCGCATTAGTTTCCTCTCTTACACCTCTCTCACTTTGGAAGCACTGTCTTTCCAGAGGCTTAAACATTCATTTTTAGCATTTGGAGTAGGTTTTATTTATTCTTGTTTGTAAATAAAATACTTTTTCTAGATATATTAAAATAAGTTACTACAATACTTCTATACTTTCCCGTTCTTCGAGCGATTGCATAGTAAACATTGGTTTTGGCCTATTTTTGTGTGTGAGGATTTAGGCCAAATGTAATGGAAACTTACTGTTCCATGAGGCAGCATTACATTGTGAAAATCCCTGTTGAATAGCAGAGCAGATCACTGTAATGGAAGGAGATATGGCTGGAAGGAGGTATTGAGAGATAAAGAAATGGAGGGAGGGTACCATTTCTTGCTGTGTCCACTGTCCAGGTGTAATCCACCTGCCCGGGGCGAACCAGATGGCGAGGACTGCCGTAGTTCTTAAAGGAACAGTTCACCCCATTTGCTTAGTTTACTTTATTTAACTTAAGCTTAAGGGGTTAGTTCACCCAAAAATGAAAATTCTGTCATTAATTACTCACCCTCATGTCGTTCTAACCTGTAAGACCTCCGTTCATCTTTGGAACACAAATGAAGATATTTTTGATGAGTTCTGAGAGCTCTCTGACCCTCCCATAGACAGTAAAGTAATTACCACGAAGTCGTTATTTTTGTTTTCTTTGCGTACAAAAAGTATTCTTTTAGCTTCATAAAATTATGGTTGAACCCCTGATGTCACATGGATTATTTTACCGTTCTCCTTGCTACGTTTCTGGACCTTGATCGTGGTAATTACATTACTGTCTATGGGAGGGTCAGAGAGCTCTCAGAACTCATCAAAAATATCTTCATTTGTGTTCTGAAGATGAACGGAGATCTTGCGGGTTTAGAATGACATGAGGGTGAGTAATTAACGACAGAATTTTCATTTTTGGGTGAATTAACCCTTTAAGTATGCTTTTTTTTTGGCTGTAACTTTAAAACATTTCAGAATGAAAGTGTGTGTACAAATTTCGTAGTGTGCTGTTGGTCCCTAAGTGACAGTTTCAACTCTGCCCCACCTCTCACACATGTACATTCCCATTAGGGCTGCACGATTATGACAAAAATCATAATTGTCGATTATTTCTTTGAAATTGTAATTGCGATTATTAATTACGATTATCACAATTTACATTGAATGATGTTTATACCATTGTTTAATGCAACTGCATGCCGTATTTCTAAATGAAAATAAACAAGCTGAAAACACTCTAACTGAAAAACTTTTAGTGATTTTCTATAGTATTGAGCCTCAAATGTCAACTATACATCAGATTGGTTTCTTTAAATTATAAAAAAGTACAAATATGAATGGTATTATAATGTTATAGTAAAACTAAAATTAAAATAATGGGAAAAACCCTTAAGATAACATGTAGAAAGAAAAAAACGCATCTTAAGCATGCAGAATAACATAAGTGGACTTTGAACGATTAATTGCCAGTTTGAATGATTATGTAATTGTGGCATCCATAATTGTAATCGCAATTAGAAATTCGATTAATTGTGCAGCCCTAATTCCCATTATTTCTGAATGACTCTCTCTAGAGTCTAGTTATCCTGATCTCCTTGGATCTGCCCTGTTTAGCTGAAGCGTTGTGCCTTGTGTGTTGCTCTGTCTTGCTCTCATCGCAATGAATATATGTTTTTGTCATGCTACACTTGCTGCTCTGCTGATTTGAGCAGTTAAAATGGCAAATCTGGAGTTGTAGATTTGCATATTTGTTTGTGTAGAAGCTTGTTGTGTTTGTGTATATTAGGAGGTTTTGATTAGTGTTACTGTATTTTCATCTCACAATTTCTAGCCCTGTGTAACAATACTGATGCTACATGTGAACAAACATGTAAGATTGCCCTTTAGAATCTGAAAACCATCTATATATAAGATAAATATATAATAGATAAATATATAAATCAGAATATATATATATATATATAGAAGTAAATCAGAATTTATATTTATAAATCATAATATATAAATGTAAATTGTGAATACACACACACGCGCGCGCATATGTCATATCTACATTTTATAAACTGGGACGATTAAGGCATAAAAAGTCGGTTACATAAGTGAGATAAGTGCAGGCATTTAAAACATGTCTCAGCTTCAGGGAATGTGACGGGGTTAGACATGCCCACTGCTTTAATGATTTGGCTTCAGTTCATCAGCAGCAGAGGAAGGAGATCTGCGGTCTCGCTGCCCCCTCTGCATCTTATCTCCGTTCTCTACTTGAGTCTATCACAGCTTCTGCAAATGGTTCCTCCATGAGACTGGACTGTTTTGATTCTTTACTCTTTCTATGTATCATGTTCTGTATAACATGTTTGTGTATGTGTTTGACAGTCCATTTCCAGAGCAAAGTTTCAGTCTGAAGGGAGTCTGCGGTCAACAAACTTCACGTTGGGTTCATTTTCATGTAGATTTAGTCCATTGAGACACATTGTGGCTCTGATGTTAGATTCTTTCCTAATGAGAGAGTGTGGGTACGTTGGGCATGATCACGGTCTCACTGAGGTTTTTCCTGGCTTTTGGGATGGACCAAAACATGGCTCCAGTGTCCACTGCCATTCGCTTCTCAATAAATTACCCTTAAGCTGCATTTGTGGCAAATATGAAGGGTTTCTAATCTAAAACTCAAAAACCAGACGAATTGAACAGCCTGTACTCTGTACCACTTCCCTTTGCTTTAAAAAGAGTTGTATTTAATGATAAAATAGCATTTATAGAAGAGATCACGTATGAGACCCATGTGACCCAGTATTGCTACAAAACAAAGATGTGTTTTACAAGAGACAATGAAGTATTTCATCAGGAATAAACACACAAGACAAAAGGCAGCTGCCGCTCGTGGCTGGACTCAAATAAACAGTTCTTCTCTCTGAACGAGCACATAGCTGTGTTCATGCGTGATTAGAGATTTGGTTTCACAACCCGTTAATGGCTTTGTATTGATTAATACAGCAATAGCAGAGGCATTAATATATTTGTATTAGTATTTTTTTCCGTCTGTAATGAAGCACATAATGTCTGCCATGGTTCAACTGCAGGTGTTAAACATACATCCAGGTGTTATACTGAAGTAATCTGCCAGTAACGAGGTACCACAGTCTCTGTGAAAACCTCATGAGACTTCAATCAAGCAAGAAGTTTTTTTTCAGGTTACACGATCAGTTTAAAGAAAGTTAAGACAAAAAACACTTACATTAAAAAATGTTCTAAGTCGACTACCATTCAAAAGTTTAAGGTCTCTTATGCTCACCAAGGTTACATTTATTTGATAAAAAATACAGTAAAAACAGTAATATAATGAAATGTTATTTCCATTTAAAATGGCTGTTTTCTATTTGAATATATTTTCAAATGTAATTTATTCCTGTGCTGCAAAGCTGAATTTTCAGCGTCATTACTCCAGTCTTCAGTGTCACATGATCCTTCAGAAATAATTCTAAAATGCTGATTTGCTTCTTAATAAACATTTCTTCTTATTATTATTATTATCAATGTTGAAACAGTTGGTATTTTTGTGGAAATAATTTTGTGGATATGTTTTTTTCAGGATTCTAATGTATCAAAAGTTCAGTTAGACATGTATTTAAAATAGAAATCTTTTATAACAAAAATGTTCGTAACATTTTACTAAGAGCCTTTATGTATGATGCATTATAAAGGATCATTAAAGGGTGAAATGCATTAAAATTATAATGTGCATTGTAATGCATTATATCTTGTTGTAAATAATTATAACCAAATTTAAAATGCATAGTTTAACAATGAATTGATAAGTGTTATAATAACTGTGGTCACAATTATTCATGAGAATGTACAATGCATTATAAGGTGCATTACAAGGCATTATTAATGCAGTGCATTATACAAAAAGGCTTTAAGTAAAGTGTTACCAAAATGTTATTACTCTCACCTTTGTTCCACTTAAAGCATCCTTGCTAGTGCTGAATAAAGTATTAATTTCCTTCAAAACTAAAAAATCTCACCGACTCAAATTTTGAATGGTAGTGTTCATGCCTCTTAGCACTTGATTACCCTCAGAGATTCAGAATGCAGACTGTTGTGTCATTCATACTCATAGAATAAGCTTGCATGATATCAGTAGCTCAGCTACTATGTATATGAAACCTGTCAAATGTTAAAGCAAGTTGCCACTGATAAAGAAGGCAGAGGAAAGGACTGTGTGGAGGAGATTAAGAGAGACAGAGGTAGAGCTGAGAGTGCAGTATAGGTATTGGACAGGAGCCACAGAGCTAAAGTAAATACAGTGTGGCATGTGAGTGACCTACATAGAGCCCAGTGAAGGAGGTTAAAGTGTACAGACCTGTTCATTAGCCTATTATTTCCTCTCTGAGAAGAGCGCAAGGCAGCAGACGCCAGGGAAAACTCTGCTATCTCAATGAAAATGTGACCGGAATGGTTTTAACTCTTGATCTCTCTCTCTCTCTCTCTCTCTCTCTCTCTCTCTCTCTCTGTTGCAGGAATATAACATGACCAGATTAAACGGATAAAACCAGGCACTCTTCAACACATGGTGAAAATGAAACATCTGCATCTTTGAATGCTTAAAATAAGCCAAAAGTAGATCACAGACCCTTCAAGATTTACAAAAATCATCTTATCGGTCCATACTGTCATTTTCTCTTCACTCTTGCCCTTCTCCGGTCAAAACCACCATGTATGGTAGTGCCCGATCCGTGGGCAAAGTGGAGGGCAACCACAGCGGCGGGAGCAATCAGAGTCCCGGCCGCTCGCCCCGTCTCCCTCTCTCGCCCCATCTGGGCCACCGCCGCACCAACAGCACAGGGGGCAGTGGAGCGGGAGCGGGAGGTCCAGGTGGTAAAACCCTTTCCATGGAGAACATCCAGTCTCTCAATGCTGCCTACGCCACATCCGGCCCCATGTACCTGAGCGACAACGAGGTGGTGGCGTCTGGCCCAGACCTGCCGAAGAGCACCATGACGCTGGGCCGCTCGGGAGGACGGGTGCCTTACGGCGTGCGCACCACAGTCATGGGATCCAGCCCAAACATCTCCACTGGGGCTCCCGGATCCGTTCCCACTGATGCCATTGCTTTTGGAGACCACCATATGCCTTCCACCCTGGCGTCCACTGTGCCTCATTCGTTGCGCCAGGCGCGGGACAACACCATCATGGACCTGCAGGCCCAGCTCAAGGAGGTGCTCGGGGAGAACGAGCTCCTGAGGAAGGAGGTGGATGTGAAGGAGAGCAAACTCAGTTCCTCCATGAACTCCATTAAGACCTTCTGGAGCCCTGAGCTGAAAAAGGAGCGCGCCCTGCGCAAGGACGAGGTGTCAAAGATTGCCGTGTGGAAAGAGCAGTACAGAGTCATACAGGATGAGAACCAGGTGAGAGGAGGATCAAATGGATTTAAAGTCCTATTTACAATGCATTTAACTTCTGTAATATTATACATATCTCAGAGTGAATCAGAATATTTGGCAGGGAATAATGTAGCCTCAGTTTTGATGACTTTTATGCTTTCACCTTATTTAAAAAAAACAATATAGTTTGGGATGCATTGATATTATAATTCTGGCTTATAAGACAATTTTATTTTCTAGCTATGGCAAGTAAATATTTTACAAATAAACCATTAAAATTTTTAATCTTTTCATTTTAAAAATGAATATTAATTTTGAGATTTGCTAAAGATTACATTTAACAGTGTTATTAAATTAGTGTTTTTAAATGAAAACATTTAAGTAAGCATTAGATGTTGACAGTGGAAATGAGCATGAACAACTAAATATACATTATATTACATTTAAATGTAGAAATTTACATTTATGCATGGTTCGCAAGTGAAAGTTTATAATACGAATTGCAAAAATGTTCTATTTCAAGTAAATGCTGTTCTTTTGAACTTTGTATTCATCAAAGAATCCTGGAAAATTGATTTCCACAAAAATATTAAGCAGCACGATGTGAGCAGCAAATCAGCATATTACAATGATTTCTGAAGGATCATGTGACACTTAAGACTGGAGTAATGATACAGAAAATTCAGCTTTGCATCACTAGAAAAAAAAATGTAAACTGAAAATTTTAAAATGTGTATTTTTAAATTGGAATATTTCACAATATTACTGTTTTCACTGTATTTTTGATCAAATAAATGCAGCCTTGGTGAGCATAAATGACTACTTTGAAAACATGAGAAAAGTTACAAACCAACCAGTGCATTCCTAAATATTGGCTCTTTTTTTTTCAATCATAGTATATCTCTCTTTTTTTTTTTCTTAGACAGATGTTGGTCAGTTAAGTGTTTGAATATGGTTTCTCTTCTCTTCTGTAAGCTATAATATTCTGGTCTTTTTAGTGCAGTGTTCAGTAGCCAAAGGGCTTCATCTGCTAAAACGCTATAATATGAAATGGTGCACCTGGCACTGAGAAAAAAACAACAAAAAAAACGTATTACTTGCAGATTGGATCTGATTACTGAAGAACATTGGTAAAAGGCATTTTTAAGAAATGGCTCTATTTGTCTTTTAGTGTTGTTTTCAGAAATGGCTTGCCGAGAGCCTTCAAACATCTTGAACGAAGCTGAATCAAAGCGGTTTGTTTGATTCATACTGGCAGGTGTTACGATAAAAACTCTAGACAAGTGGATCTTTTTTGTTTTTGCATAAAATGGACAACTGTTCAGCAAAGTCTATATGACTTTCTATATGAATTTCCTTTCAGTATGACTTTCATTGTAGACTAATTAAGCTTTTTAAAACATCCATTTCTCCTCTGCAGGCTGTAGTTTAACACACGTCCATCCTGACATTTCCCGTTTTATTCTCCTTCATTCGTGCTGGATTTTAGCTCTGGTGTAAGCTGTAATTTTAAATTTTCCCATGTATTTTTAGGGCCTGCAGGCAGTCTACAGCATGTAGCAGACTACAGCATATGGCATAGACATTAACTATTACCGTTATACCACCACCTCTTTTCAACAGGAAGATGTTTTTTTGTATTTAGTCTACTCTACGTGATTTTCACTGTTGACATCTGGCAAAGAATTGCCAACTTAAGGAAAGACCTTCTGTATGTCGCCGTGTCTGTAGAGTTAACTTTGAACTCAGCTGGATGTCAGAGACCTTTAACACTCATATGGTCTTATTGCACGTGACTCTGACCCTGCTTTGCTTTTGCCTTGGCTGAACCGTGAGGCTAATGAGGGGCTTGTCGTCACTGCCTTTGATGCCTTTCATTCACACCGCCTGTTTGATGAAGGCTCGGGTGATGTTTTTGGGTAAGGATGAGTGGGTTTAACCCATATGACACCCCACTCGGTCTGCTTCGTACAGTGAGCTGGAGTACTTGACTGATGAAGTCGGTTTCTGTCATGATGGGTTTATCTAGATAAACTAGATCAATATTCAAAAGACCCTTGATCAGTTAAATGAACAAGTCATATTCTCAGGAGAGAGAGGCATTCAAAGGAGGGATAAAGGAGCAGGAATGAGTGGAATGAGGCTTGAATACTCCTTTGAGACCTGTTCAATTATGAGATGTGACGCAACAAACCCCTTTAGTCAGCCAACTCTCATTCATTCACCTCCTCTGCTCGTATCTCTCTCCATTCATTCAGCCCACATGCTAGTTCACTGGATTTGTGAGCACGCTTTCTCTCTCTTCAGTTTAGGGATGCATGAGTAATACAATTCTGGCTGATATGATAAGCAATAATTATTAATAATTGTTAAAAAAATTTGTATGATAGTAAAAAAATATTTTGTCTATTTAAAAAAAATATATTTTTATTTAAATGGATGAAAATGTTTTTTTTTATATATAATATTTATGATTAATTTTATACAGTAGGAATAGAAAACAGTAAATTGCAATAAGCTTTCACTGTTTTTTTTATGGTATTTTTGATCAAATGAATGATCAGTTGATCAATTAAAAATTGGGGAAATGAGCGTACACACTTAAATATGTGATTTATATAGCCAAAAGGTATGTAATATTTATTAATTTAAAATGAATAGAAATATAAAAAATATTCTAAATTGCAATGTTTCACAATATTTTACAGTATTTTTTCCTCAAAGCATCAATTAAAAAATGCACAATGCACAATTAAATATGAGATTATATAGCCAACATATATGTATTATCTACTAATAATTAAAAAAAGTACAGATTATACTGTGTCATGCATCTCTATTTCCTACAGAATACTGGGTTGTACAAGTAAAAATAATTATTTTACAGTAATTATGTTAATATGTTTATGTATAATAAAAGTATTATATTTTTCTGCAATTTATTTTTAATGTTCTAAACTGGTTCTACATATTTTAATGTTGGTAACACTTAAAATTTTTTTTTTTTTTTGATGTGCATAAATGTGAACATGTTTTGTTTATTTGGATTCAAATTAACCTTATTTACTTCCTTAAGTCGTTTTCTTCCAGTGCTTTGTGAACATCTGCCGTGACATTCCCCGCACTATCAAGTATGTTTACATGAGCGCATCCTTTCAGACAGAGCAACCGAGCCAATCGGGTGTCCATCCATGTGTGTTTTTCGTAAGCGTGCGTCTCTGCCCTCTGAGGAAGCGGGAACAGATGGCAGACGCGGCTCCTGATGCGCTTACTGTAGTAGTGTTGTAAAAGGGCCAAAGATTCGCACCCCAATCCCACAATCTCCTTATCAAGTAGTGTCACTTTTCACAGCCAAGTTCTGCCCACACTAATATTCACCGTTCCGGTCAGACTGTTTGTTCCTAATCCCAAATGTTTGATTCACATAGTCAGATGAGATGAGAACATATAATGTAGGGGTTTGTTTGCTGTGTCATTTCAGTAAATGTAACCTAGAAGGGTAGCAGATGGTCAAGGGTGGAGTCTCTCAGATGGAAATAAACATCACATGTTGAGTTGAATGACTAAGAACCATGAAAATATCTCACATGGTTTTCTTGCACAGTACTTCCTGTTGTCCTGCTTGGCATGATAAAGGTTTGAAGGCTGCATTTACTCATTATGTAATAGATAATCAGCTCATTACTCACAGCAGAATGACTGTGTCATACAATATGCTGTGTTTACACTTTAGAATCATAATGGAGCTGGACTGTAAACACCATAGACTTTGAGGTGGATCTGTCCCTGTATTCTGGTTAGTGGGTGATCAATATAGTGTTTAAAAACCCCATATATATATATATATATATATATATAAAGCAAAAAATCGATAACACTTTACTTAAAGCCTTTGTATGCAATGCATTATAAAAGTAGTTTTAATGCATTAATTATGCCTTGTAATGCACCTTGTAATGCATTGTACAATCTCATGAATAATTGTGACCAAGGTTAATAAATTATAACACTTACTTTGTTGAGGTTTCTGATTTTCATTGGGTCTTTCATCTTGTTTAAGTAATTTGGCAATTTTTGCAGTTACACAGAGCATCCTGTCTGGATAAGCAGGGTGACCAGACAGCAATGGTCAGTAAAATTAAACAAATTTCCATTAATCATAATTTGCTTCCTTTTTTGAATATTTATGGGTGATCTGTGTTTGATCTGTTTTTCTGCTGAAGGTTGCAGCTATACTGCAGTCCAGGTTAGCAAGAACATGTTTTGATAAAAACAGGTAAGAACCAACAAGTATCATATTTATTCATTCATTCATTCATTCATTTGTTTATTCAGTTGTTGATGATCTCAGAGTTTCACACTGCATACAAAAGTAGTTCATAAGGAGTACATACACTACCATTCAAAAGTTTGGGATCAGTAAGAGAGTTGTGCTTTGTTTTTTTTTTTAAAGAAAGAAAGCAAGAAAAATGAGTACTTTTATTCTCAAGGATGCATTAATTTGATCAAAAGACATCTATTTCAAATAAATGCAGTTTTTTTTTTTTTTACTTTCTATTCAAAGCATTCTGCAGAAATGTAATAATAATAATACTGTGGCTCCAAGATGCTTCAAGAAACCTACCTGCAAAGCTACAGTACTGTTAAACGTTTTAGGCACTTGTGTAAAAATGAGGATTTACACAAAACTTGTGTAAAATGAGGATGCTGTCAAAAATAATGTCATGAATAGATTTTCTTTATCAATTAACTTCTATTATTTGGTTATTCTATCATTTGGTGTGACCATCCTTTGTGTTTAAAGCTTTTGCCCTTGGTGCACTTGAGCATAGTTTTTCAGGTAGGTTTCTTGAAGCATCTTGGAGACGTTGCCACAGTTCTTCTGGATTTAGTCTGTTTCAGTTTGTTCTGTTTCTTCATGTCATTCCAGACAGACTGGATGCTGATCAGATCAGATCTGTGTGGAGCACTGGCTGTTGTAAGACTCCTTGTGCAAACAAAAATCTCACCGGATTATTACAATT